CAAACACACACGCAGACACACACAACCATCTGTCCTAGTTCCATACTGATATGCTGTGATACTGTAGACCAAGTTACTGTATTTTCATTTTGTTACTTTACAGTATGTGCATGTGTCTTTCTTGGCACGTCTGTGTGTGCAGGTGTGTATGCTTTGTGTGGTTGTGTCGGTGCGTGTATTCCCTGAAATGCGATGCTGTTCCAGGCATAGAGCCATCCAGTCCACAGGAGGCTAGTGGGAGAAGTGGGCAACCAAGCTGTCCTGTATTGCTGAAAGAGACCAGTAGTGTTATTATAGGCTATGCTAAAACGTTGCTATCTATAGTTGGTATCTATCAACAAAACTTTATTGTTGACTAAGGAAGTTTGAATAGAGGATGGGACTTAAAAAGGGAAATTCGGCTCTTGGATATTATCATAAAAAAACACCATTACTCTGTGATATCTATCCTTTCCAGTAATTATTTTTTGATTGTGTTTATTTTTCTTTTCTTATCCCTTTCCATCAAAGTGGCTTGTCTATTTCTACTGCAGTTGAAATTTCTGATTAATTTCCCAGAATACCATTCAGCAACACCATCCGTGAACTTTCTCCATTTTACTGCGTGTTTCTGTTCAGGTGGTGAGAACAAAAACCATAGCAATAATGTTAGAGCAATACAGTGAGTTTTTTTTACAGTTTAGAGAGGGTTGAGCCCTCTAATCAAAACACAACGTGTCTTGTGTCTGAATTGTGTTCTGCTTTATTGAGGCTACACTGCTGTTGGAGGAATAACTATTTCTGCCTCTATGGAATACAGAGTTTGATAGTAGAACATAGCTCTGTTGCGAAGAGTCAATTGAAACCTGTTCTTTAATTCTAAATAAGGACACTAAAACTTGTTTGAACTTTGATTTAACAGCATTGTAACTGCGCCACATGTATCTCATCTGCTAGAGAATTGACCTATGGTTAACAACCAAATCATCAACCGTAGGCCTATTTAACTTGTAGCTGTTTAAAGGCCTGGTCAAGTCAGAAAGTGACACAATAAAGTTAAAGGTGCCTTGTGGAGTTTTCTTATTAATATACAAAGTTATTGTTGTGTGTATCCCTGAGGTCTAACAAACGTGTTGGATACATTTCCTCCTCCAAACAACATTTGCAAAAAAGCATTATTTACTTCCATGTTTACTAGCTTGCACCTTAGTGTGTTTCTTGACATGTCACTGCCAAATGTTGATCAGCTGAATAGTGTGAAACCATTGGCTGGAATGTGTATCACATCACCCGCTTGCATGCATGTACATGTGTGTCCTTGTGCACATACACAAGGAACAACATAATAAAAACTTAAATATGCATAAAATTGACAAGTGAGAAGACTTGTCAATCTAACTGCTAACATGCTAGCCAACAGGGAATGTGCTTGGGCTAGTCAGTTACAATTCCCATCCAAGCTAGCCGGCTCAAGAAGCTAGCTTGATGCATCACCAACCAAACAGGGTTATTTATAAGTGGATGATGCATGACAACTAATGGGATAATGATACCAAAGTCAAATGTGTAAAAGAGTCAAAATTCACTGATGTTGATGTGACAAACTGCTTTACCCCTGCAAGTGGACCTGCTTATTGCAGCAATTCCGTTGACAATTTCATTTAAATTTCATAAAATTCTTCCGTGAGGAATTTTTGTATTACATCCAGTTCATCAGCTCCAAATGGACATCGTGCTTTTTAGGAGGACCACACACAGTAGCACATTATAATTGTGTATAATTAAGTAAATCCTTCTCAAATGTGTAAATGTGATTGAACCTAATGTACAGTATTCATTGTAATAGTCAGAGCCAGAAACTTTCAAAGAAAGGAGTGAGCCTCTTTTTAGTATTTGCAATAAATAACTTTCATTGTTGCATGGAAGCAATATCAACAACTCAGCAAAAAACAGTGCACCTAGGAGCAAAATAACCACACACATGGAAGAAACCATTAAAAAACTAACATAAAAAACAACTATATTATACAGTTTTGTGCCAAAATATACAGAAGGGATAAAGGAATATCTAGTTGTTGCGAGAGAAGCCAATCTTAACAAGTCCGACACACACTGACTGGACACTTGGCCACAGCGAACACAGAGCACAGGAAGAACATGGCACACCTTCTCCGAGACAAAATAAACAAATAGTAGCTGACTTTAAAAGCAATAGTGGCAAAATTTGTTTATGCTTGTTTACCCTTTATAGAATTGTATTAAAATAGTTTCTGCATGTTTTCTGTAGTACTCTTATTCCTAAACCTTCTACGGTCCTATTGACGTCTAGAGCAACCATTTCAAAATCCCTTCAAAGGAAAGGATTAAAGTTTATAAATGAGCTTTATCATTCTAGAGAGACTACGGTTGTTAAAAATATATTTTTTAGCAGTTTCTCCCAGGCCTCCTCGTGATTAAACAAAAACACAGAAAGTGAAGGCAGACAACTCCACCCAGCTCTGTTGTGCACACCTACCCCAGGAGGACCTTTGGATGGGAGACAGCCGTAGAAAAATACTTTTCTTTTAGTTCACTCCTTCTTCAGTGTTGTACTTTTTCACTGTGTCTTGTCCATAATGGGCAAATGGATCTGCTGCAGTCAATGGAGTCTAGACTAATACTTTCTATCTTTCAATGAAATACTTAGCAACTAGGATTCTAAAAATGATCATTGCACTGTTGACTAAAGTCACTGTGAGTAAAGAAAAAAATCTGTCTTTTTGTGATTAACTGACATTGGTAGCTTATTAGCAGACCCCCCCAAGAAAAATTGTTAGCTCTGTTGTATCTTAAGTGTTCACTTTGAAGAAACTGCAGTCTCCTGTATGTGAAAAGTAAACAAACATTGTGGACTTTGGCTTGCAGAGGTTGTGGTTGAGAAGAGGGATATACAGGAAGTAGGCATACTGTAAGTGGTTGAGGGAGGATGCGAGAGGAGTCATCCCCACACCCATGTGTTTGCTACATATTCTACTTCCTTTTCAAACGGAGGCCTGGTTTCCATACCTGGGTGAAGAGATTACCGTGTGAGCTTAGAAAGGATAGGTAGGTGAAGACTCGAATTGAATTCCGCAAATAATCTTCTTTTAGCTCATAGAATTCATTTCTCATTTAACATAACATTGAGTTGTATAAGAAAGGTCTGGGTTTGATTCTGAATAGAGATGATAGAAGTGTGCAATAAAATACCCTGCAGCCCAATTTACTGGTAAGAATCCAGAACAATAATGTTTTTGAAGCTGATTCAGTTGTAATGCACCTGTTAAATCCTCTCAGATCACACAGACCGACGTTCCAAGGTATAAGAACTAAGCCTCCGTTTGGTTTGGTTTAATGTTCTATTATGTCTCGTTGCGATCAGTCACCACATGCAGGTACAACATTTACAGTCTGGGCCTCGTGCATGAGAGCATGCTACACATTCACCAGACAGTCACATTGAGGCGCAGGCGTAGACCACAAACACACATACATACACACATACTGTACATGCGCTCACGCACTTGTATGCATACACACAGAGCAGACAATATAGTAAGTTGACTGTACAGTCCAGTGTCAGAGGCATGGCAATGCCTAAATTTGCCGTCTTGTTTTGGCTGAGCTATGAATGCAAAGCGGTTGGATTGGTTTGGTTGAGTTGGGAGGTGATCTGGATGGGGAAGATATTTTGGCTGAATAGTATTACAGTGGAATATTTGGATGTATGTGTGAGATACAGTGTGCAAGTGTTTCAGGATGTGCTGTTTTCTCCAACCTTATCACCAGACAGAACCTTGATATTGGACAATATCTGCAAAACCTCAGCTTATGTTCAATGTCAACAACAACATCCATGCATAACACCTACAAGTTAGTTCATATCATATTATGGTTGTGGTTATTATTAACACTCCCCGCTCCGTGCTGTGCTGAGCTTTTCTTTTCCTTATGGAGAGTAACTCTACATGCCAAACATATACATTCACAGTAATCCCTGCCTCCATGTGAGTTGGCTGACTAAACTATGGTTAAGGTTAGGCAACTAAAACAAGTGACTTAGCTTAGGAAAAGATCATGGTTACGGTAAAAAAGAGGGCAGCAAAATAGTTGGTCTTAGGGCTGTAGCCAGGATTTGAAAAAATACTGAAGTCATCAGTCCAAGTCCCTGAAACCCTACTCCCTTTCGCAAATTTTAACCAGACACCAAAAAAAAGTCTGTACTTTTTTCTCCTTTATTTCACTACATGAAGATCTAGGCTGTTTCAGAGCCTTCAACGCCATCAGGGGCAACATTTTGATGGGGAAATATTGAATCAATTATTTATTCAATTATGTTGTGCTAAAGGTTGTCAAACTTAAATATATTGCGTTTAGAAATACTGGAATTAGCTGGTAAAATATACACCATGTGCCACTTTCAATTGGACCCAACGTAGCAGACAGAATGTGCTTGTTGTATGTGACGTGTGTGTGTGATATACAGTAATCACAGCCCTGGAACAAGCTGACATGGTTTGTTGTACACTGGTGATATAGACTGAGTATTGTGAATCTAAATTTCTTCCAGGTCACTATACCACCAAGATTTCCAGAAAAGGTATGACAACCATGACCTCAGTATTAACTACAGCCATGGTTGGTCTTTGATGGGCACTTCAGTCTCTGCATGAAAGTCAAATGGGCCACACCCATCCACCTCCCCAACTTCAACACTCTTATATGCTTCAACACTATAGAAAGGGCAGACTACTTACTGTATTCCTAATCTGCAGAATCATCCAATATGAGCAATTTGTTGGGATACTGGGCTGGTTTTTGGGATGGGCATCACAATTATTTCACTGGATGACACCAAAGCGCCTATTCCTACATGAAGGAATCTATTTTTTTTTTTGTGGATTGATGTGGGAGGACAAGAGGTAGGGTGGGGGTTTAGCGTGGCATCCTTAGATTTAGTGCATTAGACAAATAAGGCTTCCCTAGAAGGGACCGATGCAGCAACAGGGGGCAAGAAGATAAAGGTACCAGGAGGACAATCAGGGCATACAGCAGCAGCTATTGTAGAAGTGCCCCCACCCTCAACATCACTGTATGCTATTTGGTCTATGCCAAAATCCCTTACAGTGCCATGAGTGTATACATTCTTAGTATGGAATCAAACCCCTAACCTTGGCAGCATTAGCTTGCATGTCCTACCCACTTAGCTCTACAGGACCATGATTTGATTTGATTGATTTTCACAATATGTTTTAGGGTGAAGCAACAGTAGGTAACATATAAAGACTGGGACTTCAACACTAGCTACGTGCATAAAAAAGAGGTAGGGGCAACAGGGAGTTTCACTCAGAGCAATATGCGCTGAACCACAGGGAGAGGAGTAAATGCTCCGGTGACAAATCAGAACAGCGATAGCAGACACCCTGAGGTGAAACAGGAGCTAATAGATCATCAGGCCATGAACAGATTGCTATTTCAAATCCTGACTGAAAACCAATCCCAGCTCTATCACTCGTGACTTAGAGTGGCAACTCCCTGCTCACATGGCCTGATGAATATCAAGAGCAGGATGAAGTGGCAAATAAAAGAAGGAAGAGTTTGGCTGGAAGAGCAAAGGAGTGGTAAACATAATGTAAGTAGAGAAGAGAGAAGGATAGGAGTAA